TCACCGTGTTGACCAGGATGATCTCAATCTCGACCTCGTGATCCACCCACCTCGGCCTCCCAAACTGCTGGGATTACAGGCGTGAGCCACCGCGCCCAGACTGAATCACCCAATTCTAAAATATAAAGAAATCCAAATAGCAAAGCATAGTCAATGCACTCTTGAAAAAGAGCAATTTGTCCACCAGATATTAAGAATTACAAAGAAGCTGTTGTAATAAAGAGTTTGAGATTTGGGTGCATGGATTAACGATAGACCAATGGAACTGAATGGAAAGTCCTGAAAAACAAAACCAACAAAACATGTCTAAATGCAAGCTTGATTGATTTAAAAATGTTGCAGCTTTACAGCAGGAGACTGTCTTGTTAAAATAAGTATCAGTGGAACAACTGAACAGCCATATAAAAAACCTAATGTAAGTGGAACCCTTTTTCATATTATAAAAAAAATGCAATTACAGGGAAATTCAAAACCTACTTTAAAAATGTTTATTTTAAATACTTCAAAAACACAGAAATGCACAGAATAATAAATAAATCTTTGTATAGATTATCTTTTAGTGAGTCAGCAGCATGAGTAAATCAGAACATCAGTAAGGCTAGAGTTGAAAGAGCTGAAAGAGGTTGGGGTCATTGGTCACTTCGGTAACAAGAGGAGTGAGATGATATGAGTCAAAGACGAACAGAGGAAATGGCACTTCCTCTCTCCCCCTTGTCTCAGCCATAGAAGGCCTAGCTGCTTTCACAAGCCTTTGCTTTTTGAGAGTAAGACTTGGATCTCAACAGTAGCTAGGGGAAGGCTACCTGGGACAATGATGGATTTATTCCCCCTCTTACTTGACCAGCTCCTCCTGCTGACCACTGGAACTCTGAGGATTCAAGAAATATAACCCGGCCGGGTGCGGTGGCTCAACCCTGTAATCCCAGCACTTTGGGAGGCCGAGGCGGGTGGATCACGAGGTCAAGAGATCGAGACCTTCCTGGTCAACATGGTGAAACCCCGTCTCTACTAAAAATAAAAAAAAATAAAAAAATTAGCTGGGCATGGTGGTGCGTGCCTGTAATCCCAGCTACTCAGGAGGCTGAGGCAGGAGAATTGCCTGAACTCAGGAGGCAGAGGTTGCGGTGAGCCAAGATCGTGCCATTGCACTCCAGCCTGGGTAACAAGAGCGAAACTCCGTCTCAAAAAAAAAAAAAGAAATATAACCCTAGCAGTTCTATTCCAGAAAGTCATGACGGAGGGATGTTGTGTTGATGACAGCCACCCTGACCAGGTCTACAAACACTTTACTGACTTAGCGGCAGTGCCAGGTTGCTGACATGATAGGAGTAGAGGCCTATCTCCCTCTCCACATGGATAAGAGCTCCACATACTTCCTTTCAACAGTTCTTACTCCTGACAGTACCCTCAGAAGGATTCAGGAGCCCTAAGATTCCAAAAAAAGGTTGACTTGTGGCTTTGCCAGAGATTTCCATGAGGATTGGGGTTCTCTCCACCCAATATGGCCAGGATGAATTCAGCTGTTCATGCGCTGACTTCCTTCCTTAGCTTTGTCTCCACAGCCCAGGGGCAGATGGCCTCTGCTCATAGCCAGGATTGGTGTATCAAACCTCAGTGCTCAAGGTGGAAACCCACAAATATTTGCCTAAATAAATAAAACTACATAGCAGTTAAATTTGATGTAAGTATTTAAAAATTTTATTTAACTTTTAAATTCAGAGATGCAAGTGTAGGTTTGTTACATATCCCCTTTTAGTGACTTACTTCCATTAAGGCCAGCATTAATAACCTCATTTTAACTTGATTGCCTTGAAATAATCCTATCTCCAAGTCATGTCACATTTTAATTTTAAAAATGTAGAATTTTGCAGAAGAGGCAATTGAACCTATAAGAGTGGTAAGGGCAAGTGTCAGATCTGTATGTATATCATATCATTACATATGTGTGTGTGTGTGTATACATATATGTGTATATATAAAATATCACATCTATCTTTATAAAAGCTGGAAATCTAAAACCATCTTTCAAAATTTACATAGCCACATTGTTACTTGTGGAAACTTCTGAATAGGAGGCTGAATTTTGAAGAAAATTTTAAAGGAAAAAATGCAATTTCTATGCATTTTTGGATTTTTTTGCCACAAAAATACATGTGCTATTTACTTTTAATTAAACTATTGAAATAACCCTAAGAAAAGCAAGAGGAGTACTCTAGTAGTCAGATTAAGTAAAAGTAAGCTGATGGAACAGAAAAATATTTCCTGAAAGTCAAATGGCTTAACACAAGTTGATTTTTGTGTACCTAAATTCTGGTTTGAATTGCCAGGGTGTAATGGGCTGAATTGTGCCCACGTCTTAAAGTGGCACAATTCAGATATATCCACGTCTTAACCTCCAGTACCACAGAATGTCATTGTATTTGGAGACAGAACCTTTGAAGAGGCAATTAAGGTAAAATGAGGTCTTATGGTTAGGATCGTATTCAATATGACTGGCGTCCTCATAAGCAGAGCAGATTAAGATACAGACACACAGACTAAGGAACAACCATGTAAGAATTCACTGAGAAAGTAGCAATCAGCAAGCCATGGAGAGGCCAGGGAAGAAATCAAACTGGCCAACATCTTCATCTTAGATATTTAGCCTCCAGAAATGTGAGAAAACACATTTCTGTTTTTTAAGTCACCCAGTCTGTGGTATTCTGTTATGGTATAATAAACTAACACACAGTCCGTCCTGGCTTTCGCCTCGCCTAGGAATCCAAGCTGCTTTCACTTTGTAGCTCCACATCACAACAGATGTTAACTGCTCAACAGAAACAAAAGCACGGGAATGATGCACTGGCTTCTGTCTAACTATAAACGAACCACCCAAGAAGGTGAGGTAGACGAATCAAGATGGGCACTTGTAGTTTCTCCCATATGTTATTATGGTGCTCAATTAAAACCAACTATTATAATTTATGACAGTAAGTTTCTTCATTTCTTGGAATTATTTCTGGGAATGTCAGCATAGCCTTGAAATCTTCCAACATTTTCTTGCACTGACAAAGTGACTGGTGGTTTCAAATACAAGATTACATCCTGTTTTAAAACAATTCTGTAAATCTTGGCAGGGAGAGTCAACCTTATTCCCTCAATAGCACTTTGCACTGTCCTTTTAATAAGCTATATAATTTCTTTAGGCTGAGAATTCTCTCCTATTTTTGGTGTATGATAAATAATCTACCCTGTGAGCCTCTGCTACCCTCCATATGATGGAACATTCCTGAACGGCTATACATGTGCCTGTGGCACACTGCAAAAAAAGATTTTCCTGTGGGGCAGGTACACAGAAAAGAGACATGGAAGGATGTTTAACTATAACGTTTTTTTCTCATCAGAGCTGGCATGTTCACAAAGTACCCTTGTTACCTCCTAGGCAGTCTTCAAGATTTTTCTGTTTCCTTAGAAATTTGTCTTCTTGTAGATCATTTGCAAAGCGATTTCTATAGTCTTTCCTCATCTACAAAGTTTATGAAGGAAAGATTGGCATTTGATCACTTACAAAAGCTCATTCATCTGTATTTGGGTTCAATGCCCTGTTTCAAATAATGCATCTTATTAAAATCCTACTACGAATATCAAATATTAGGATGATTTCAAATAGGCTATATCTAACCTTAGGATTACATCCCTAAAACTACTATTGTGTGACAAATTAGATTTTACTCTGCAGCCCATTTGGAAATATGTTGAGAATGTATTGAAGATGCCCAGCATACATATGGAAATGTCACTATCCAAAGTGTATATTCACATCAAAGTTCTGTTATCACAGAGGAGCCAGGGAGAGGGATGGATCAGTTAGGGAACTTCTGCAGAGACAAAGAGTGGTCTATGTTAGGGGAAGGATAGATGTCTCTGGACTCTTGCGCTGACAGCTGGGTACAGCCTTCAGAGTGGGAAACACAGTGACATTAGTCAGCAGGCCAGGTTCCATAGTTGCCCAAGAGAGCACACAGGGGAAATCAAAAGGAGAGTGCTATAATGTGGGAAAGTCCTGGGGCTGGACAAAAGTACTGTGTTCAAGTGCACCAATACAAGAGCTGCAGAACACCTTCCATTACTTCCCCATGTGGAGACTCCTCTCTGCCTCATCCTTCACCCAGAGGGAACTGCTCAAGTAGCTTTCCATTCCAGACTTTTCTCTCACCTTCTGAGAGTCTGGGCCCTGCCACCACCCAGCTTCATGACAATCAGCTCCCACAGAAGCAACTGCAGTTTCCTAAAGCCCAAAACTGCCTTAGCTCGGGGCCTTTTTGTTTGAAGGCTCCAACTGGAGTCACACTCTCCCTACTCCTTTTTAAACTTATTCTTTAGATTGAAGAGAAAATCTTACCAAGTTCCTGATATGGCTTCTATACCTATACTCTACCGTTTTGTAAGCAGGTATAAGTCTTGCTTTTAGTAGTAACTTCACTACTAACCATAACTTCCATGAGCAAATGCTGATACAATGTTCATCAAATAAAGGAGTCAGTGATATTTTTATTTATTATCATTTAATCTCTGCTACTTTATTAAACAAGGCAAGCAAACCAGGTACGTATCTTTAATTTTCAAGAACAACAGACTATGCAAATATTAACAATCCTTTGTTTTGTTCCACTATTTAACTCCAGAGTTCTTTTACAGTTTAAAGAAAATTGCTACAGTAATACCACATTAACCTGTGACAGATCACAAATAAGGCAGAAGATTTTCCCAATTTTGTGTGTGTTTTACAAAATATCAAACTGTTACTCCTAAACCAGTTAAACAGCAATACATGTGTGACTAATATTCATAAACTTCATAAACTAAGATTCTGAAGCTATTTAAACCTTTTATTAAAAGGAAAAGCATTTCAAAAATACCCCAAAGTAAAACAGGTAAATCCCTTAACTACCATATAGAACAGAAATGCAAACAACACTGCGTTCTCTCCAGCTTCACCCGGGCCCTCCACCGCATAGAAACTCGCCTGCCCTGTTCACACTCAAAAGGAAGATTCTGCCTTAGACTTCACTCAGGAGAAGAGGGGCTGGGGGACATGACACTGGAGCTTGCACTGTCTGTGACAGTGGAATCATCTGTGGTGTCAATTGTGGCCTGGGCTCTCTCTTCTATATGTTTCAAAGCATCCTTGTATGAGGATGAAAAGGAACTAGGGACGGTATTGTTTAGCATGGCCAAAAACTCTACTACTTTCCTCTTGCTGATTTCTGAATGGGCTCTTGGACCCCAAAGAAATTCATAACGTGGAGGAGAAGTGTTGGGCACCTCCCGGTACTCCAGGTAACGTTCCTGCACCCAAACTTTAGTGAGGAGCTCTCTGGGCTCCCCAAAGATGAAGTGCTTCCTCCCAGCACATACCCCTATCCCACTCAGCACATCCCAGATGATCTCCTCAGAGGCAGAGGAGCCCTTTATGAAGATTATACTCAGAGTAAGTGTCAGAAGGCGGTTCTGGGGCATGCTCTGCTCATCGCTCAGACTCCCTTCACAGGTGAGGTCTAATGGGTTTACAAAGACATAGGAGTGGTCGGGGCCCACTTCTGTCAGGGCAATGCCAAAAAGAATCTCTATGAACTCACGGGCCTTCCTGAAGATCATAGGAAAGTAGCCCATGTACCTGTTGACAAAAATTGTCATCATCTCTGCCTTTGTGACAGGCTCCTTTGCTTGATATTTGAGAAGAAGAAACTGCACCAACTTGTCCACCTTTTCATCCAGTGTATGAGTAAACAAGGGCTCAGTGACTGTCAAGGACTCGCTATCTGTCAAGGACTCGCTGTCTAGTAAGGTGTCTGAGGTACTTGTATCTTCATCTACTGGGCTGTTGGACTCTTCACTGGATGGGTTCAATAAAGTGGAGGAGAAGAAAGAGCTCACAGGACCCTGGAGAGCAGACTGGGAAGGCCCTTCAGGAGGACTCTGGGGACACTCAGGGGAACTCGGGGGAAGGCTCAATGGACTAGAGGAGAAGGTGCTCACAGGACCCTGGAGAGCAGAATGGGAAAGCCCCTCAGGAGGACTCTGGGGACACTCAGGGGAACTCAGGGGAAGGCTCAATGGACTAGAGGAGAAGGCGCTCACAGGACCCTGGAGAGCAGACTGGGAAGGCCCCTCAGGAGGACTCTGGGGACACTCAGGGGAACTTGGGGGAAGACTCAACGGACTAGAGGAGAAGGCACTCACAGGAACCTGGAGAGCAGACCGGGAAGGCCCCTCAGGAGGACTCTGGGGACACTCAGGGGGACTCGGGGAAAGACTCAATGGACTGAAGGAGAAGGAACTCACAGGACTCTGGAGAGCAGACTGGGAAGGCCCCTCAGGAGGACTCTGGGGACACTCAGGGGAAC